CCACCAATAGAACACTCAATTTCAAACAGCTATAGAGGACTCCAAATTCTACTGGGTTTCTCGACGCTGGCTACAGATAAAAACTACATATGAAGCTTTGAAAATAACACAGATACCCGAACTCCACCCCTGGCTTTCTGAACAGGAACTCCAGAGTAAGGCTCAAGACACATGCATTGTTTAAAAAACACTCTAGATATGACTTTAGAGCATAGCCAGAGTGAAGGATTACTATTCTGAACACAGAAGAGGTGATGGCAATGCAAGTCAAGTAGCATCTGGAACCAGGATGCCTTTCGAAGGTAAAATTACAAAGGGGAAGGGGCAGCACAGAACACAGGATGCTGACTTAGTACAGTGGGAAGAATGAATGAGGTGGACAGTGCAGAAAGAAGCCAGACAGGGAGGCAGGTTAACTTCCAAGTGCCAAGCAGGCCAGGTTAGAAAGACAAGGGAAAGCACACAGAAATGCAACCTTCACAGACACAGCAGCAGGTCAGCAACACGATCTGACCGCTTGTTTGTGACCAGTGAGAATTTCCATTATTGAGGTCGTTGCTCAGCCCTGCCAATGGCATGATGCTTTCCTCATCATCATCACTGATTATTTTTTTCATAGTTTGCCACCACCACTAGTTTTGTTATTAACCACAATTCAGTAACTTTGTCCTAATCTTGCTGATAAAACATTTGAGATTTGGCTTAGCTTTCTTACCTTAAGATGGAGAAAAATGGGAAGATGCAGAAAAAGAATTTCCTGGGATGCTTTCCATTTCACTTTAGAAACAGAGACTAATTAGACCAAAAGGAGTTTTACAGACAGGATAGTTCCTGTCCTTTATTTTAATACAAGAGGAAAATGCAACCGAGAGGGTTATTTTGTTTCTGAGGGTACAAGGTAACAGAGCAGCCTGGTCTAAGCCTCTTACTCTCCAGAGTCCTTCAGCTTTGTCTTCAATATGTAATTTCAACATTTTACTAACGTGTAACTCCCACAAACGATTCCTATATATGCAAATATATGTCTTTGCTGTACACCTGAAACTAATGTTGTAAATAAACTACATTTTAATACAAAATAAAAATTTAAAATGTATAAGCGTATAATATATTATAAAACTATGTATAACTTCTGAATTAGGCATCAGTGGCTCTCTTCCTACCTCCCTCCCATTAATATGGATAATTGGAATTTGACTACGTTATAAACTTTCACAGAATGGCTTTATGAGGAAGATTAGAACTCTAGCAATTGAAGTTCATCAAATATTGTATCTTAATGGGCTTATCTCAGAGTGAAGATAATAACTATTATCTTATTCAATAGCATGCCATAAAGACTAAATATCTGACGGTAGCAATACATTTCAATTGCCACATAAATAAATAACATAGCTATACAGATAGCAACTTCTAGCAGGTTAACATTACACAGAACTACATAGAAAACAAACGGTTACCAAAGGGGAAAGTAGAGCAGAGGGTGGGAGATGGGTGGAGTGGGGAGGAGGGATAAATTAAGAGATAAATAAATTTGGGATTAGCATATACACGCCACTATATATAAAAAAGGATCTACTGTATAGCACAGGGAACTATATTCAATATCTTATAATAACCTATAATGAAAAATAATCTGAAAAAGAATATATGTGTGTGTATGTGTATGTGTGTGTGTGTGTGTGTGTGTGTGTGTATGTTTGTATACTGAATTACTTTGCTGTACACCTGAAACTAACACAACATTGTAAATTATACTTCAATTTAAAAAAGGCAATTAAGAAAAAAAGCTTTGGGAAAAAAATTACACTGAACTGACTGAGAAGAGCCCAAGTAAGATACTGGAACATTCAGACATCTCAAGAGAACAAGATTTAAATTGATAAACATACATTTAATGAATACATCCAAATTCTTAAAAATCCCTATGGTAAGGAAATCTACCACCAAGGAATCTAAGACCTTTGAGGAAAAAAGAGGGTAATGGAATGGAAGCTAAAAGCAAATCCATGATTATCTTTAAAACAGTTTAAAATTATTAAAATATGACAACCATAATAAGAGAGAAAAATATCAAAGACACTTTATACATTTTGAACTTGTTCCATAGGTAGTATATCATTCATTTTTATATATGATATCTGATTGCTAGAAATCTCTCAGAATCTGTCTTTTGTTACAAAGAAATAGTTATAAATATTATTGCTAAAAATATTATTTTCTGCTCTTTCCATATCTACATTCTTTATTGAAAATGCTCAAAGAACAAACTTGGTTCTAAAAGGCTTTACTAAGACCCTTTGATTCTTTTATCAATTCCCAAGGCATCTTTGAAACACTTCACTTCTATTTCTATTCTATCATAGCTTTTTAAAAAAAAAAAAAGCCTAACCCATTCCCCTTTTTCTAGTTACAGTAGTTAACAATTTGCAAATGAAACCATAACAATCAAAAGTAAAGGCATACAGGAACAAATTCAGGAATACGAGAATTTTGTATAAAGATAAATCGTGGTTAGAAAAATGGGTGATAACAGTCTTAGTCTGGATAATTACATTACTGTGGTGTAAACTCATCTGCCTAGAAACCAGCCAATGGCTTGAGTGGAATCAGTCAGCAGTTCATTAATGTATGATATGCTTATATTTGTACACAGATACTTACATTAAGCAATGTGAAAATTCCAGAGAAACAACATGTAAGTTTACTTTTCTTGCAGGAAAATATAAAATATAAAATACTGTTGAGATATGATATGAACATGTTGGACTAAATTAGTAGTCCTCAGAACAAACAACCCTTTCAGATGGCAGCATCTTATGACTTTTCAAGGAATACATAGTTTTACAAGCACACATAGTTTTAAGACACAGTTAGTTTAAAGGAATTGATATTCGGATGCTAAATATGCAAATGAACACTTCTCTGAAACTGGGAGGGTAGACATTTTCTCTCTTCAAGGAAAACAATTAAGGATGGAAGATTTCTGACTTTTAAAGGAAAGTCTGTCATGAATTTTTCTTTAATGGATGATGATGATGGATATGGCAAATTATGTTATGGCAAACATTCTATTGAATATATTAAAAAGAATAATAGTTTTATTTTTAAATGTCAATATTTATAGTATCCTCAAAATTACATCTTTTACAATCATTTAAACTTACTGTTAGAAAGTTTCAGCTGTTAATATAAATATAACAGCTGTTAATATAAAGGATTAGACATTTCTTGATATTCGTTAAGAGCGATGGCGAGCAAAAAAATTTGAAAGCCACCAGACTAAATCATGTCAAGCTTTCATTAACCTCTAATATTGTAATGTCAAGACTCTAAATAAGGAGCTATACACATAATTATGTCCTAGGCTGTCTAGAGTGACACAGAAAGGTGGGCCTAATTAAAAAGCCCTTGGTAGAGTGGGTGAGATTTGAGCAGGATTTTATGAATGGAAAACAGGGAACCTGAAAAACCTGAGAAAAGATGAAGAGGCCTTTGCAGGAGAGGGGAAGAGATGTGCTGGGGGTGAGGGGTGGGTGGGGTGGGGAAACGGGAAGGGGATGGGTTTTCAGCTCCCAAGACTCTTGAGTCAAATTCAGATTTTACCACTCTTTGGAAGAGCGACTTTGAAGAAATCTTAATTTCTAGTTTGAAGATCAAATGAAGAGACAGAAAAGAAATCGCTCGTGAAATTATAAAGTAACAGCACATGTTAGTTACTGAGCCCTTCTCAACGAGAAACCACTGCGCACAGCAGTTTACACCACAGGCAAAGGCACGAGCTCTGGAACCAACAGACTGTGTTGAGACAAAACCCGCCATTTCCTGGAGGTGCGTCTCAGCCAGGTTAACGAAACCTCTCTGTACTCGATTAGCCTTACGCGCAAAGTGGAGATAATTGAGGAACCCACTTTATAGGGTGTTTATGAGGATTAAGTGAGTTAATGCAGATAAAGAGCTTAAAATGGGGCTCGTGTGGTTGCTTTATTACTGTTGGTGGTGGTATTCTTATTATTACCCTCTGATTCTCAATGTCAAATAGAGATCAAGAGATTACCAACCACTAATAAGTATTTGTTGGATTAAGAGCCTAGAAAGGGGCCGGGGGGAGTGGGCAGGCAGCTAAATCTGTAAGAGAGCTTCAATCATAAAAACCTCTAATATGGCTCCTTGGCTTCTCAGCAAAGGCATGTGACAGTGATCCCCTGAACCTCTCTGCTGTCATAACCAGCAAAGAAGCGTGTATCTTTTTTCCTTGCTTAAAGGACAAAGCCTCAAAAGAACATGTTGCAATTTATGCTGCAAAGAATATCTTGTGATGTTGTTGGTAGGATTATATTGGGTCCTTAAAGATGACACATCTGTTTATTATTTTGCAACATGGCAGGAACATTCTGACCTTACCTAAGGGAGTCTGACACTAAAGTACCAGAAGATCTCTTTAGAAAACACCCTTACCTGTCAGTAACATACCAGCCACAGAACCGGAGGTAGCGATATGACACAAATCCTTCCAGCTCTGACTGCAATTTTTCAGTCATTTAAAAACTGTTATTGGAATATTTTTAAATTATAGCGGTAATTCATAATTCCTCATTCATGCTCTTATACATTAGTTTTTTTTTTTAAGAGAAAATTGGTTTTCCACCCCTACCATTGATTTTTCAAACCACGTTCAGGACAAGTTGCATAGTTCTTCAGAAATTATTTTAGAAGTCAGAAGTTTAGGCTAAAAGCTTGACCAAAATGTGGAAACGCAAAGCTCAGAAATGTGTTGCTTTAAGGAGAGCACTTTTAAAGACCACGCTTTAACTTTTAAAAAGAAGTTCCAGACCTATAACTCCAAGGTAATGTGCCAAATAGATTATACTGCTTTCTAACTTCATCTAAACATTCTATTTGAATTCAACCTCAGGATATGTACAATATTCTGAGGTTTTTGTTAACACATACTATGTACTGAGAAGCAACAGATAAGCATTAGAAATTTTTACACTTACAAGTATGTCTGGCCAGTGAGTAGTTGGATCCGCCACTAGTCAGACCAAATCCCTCAGGAATCTGACTAGAGCTTCGAGGTCTGGTCAACAGTTTGGGAGGTTCAATTTCAGCCCCAAATTCAGCTCCTATTACTCCTAGTAAAACAATAGCAGTAGCTTGCTTCCGCCTTT